TCCGTGTATCATTCGTTCATTCGTTTTTCAAAATAAAACCAAATATGAAAAAACAAAATAATGACTTGTTTTTTCAATATTTGTTTCCAGAACCAAAATGAAAAAACGGATAACGACTCGTTTTCCGATTTNAAACCAAATATGAAAAAACAAAATAATGACTTGTTTTTTCAATATTTGTTTCCAGAACCAAAATGAAAAAACGGATAACGACTCGTTTTCCGATTTTCTGTTTAAATGGAAAATGGAATAAACAGATAATGGGCCGGATTCAGGCCTTTCATGCACTTTCAATATTTTCATCTCTCCGGAAGGCAAGTTTTTTTCTTTTGCAAGCACTGGTTTCTTGTCGGACCGGTCGGAGTGACAACTACATCCAGTTCATGGAAGCTAACGCTTTGGCTAACAACCGCTGCATGTGGAGGCTGCAAATTTGGAGAAATTGTTCAATATGAGGTAAGTTGTGCTAAGGTAACAATACGTGCCAGCTTACTGTTTGCTTCTACAGCTGACATATTGGAATAGACTTCATGTGGCGAGTAATTTTTACATTATTTGAAGATTTATGTTTGTTGCGACTTGCGAATTCGCCACATTCAGCCATAACGGCAGCATAAAAATAATGCTGTATTTAGGTGGATTTCAGCACTCACATGCATTTTCTTTGGGAAATGCCACTCTAGTTAAGTTCTATAAACATTATAAAAGTAGCATGCTGGGATATAAATGCATTTTTTGTACTTTTCCACAACACAGAACAAAATGAATGCATCAATGTTCAATGGGAAGCAACCAGGTGGACTTCAAACCAGGGTTCCACCAGTCGAAAGTGATGACAGCTACCTTGACAGTGGGGATAGTGATGAAGACTACACACCTACACCACGTCGGCAGGTTTCATCACCTGGTCAGGAGTGTCGTCTGTATGCAGCATGCACAGACCCCATGCACAGAGGCACCGCCTCGCCGCAGTGGTCGTGGGCTTGATCCCAGCTTGCGGCCCGTGTCATTCCCCCATTCTCTATTTCCCCACTTCATGCTATCCTAAAGCAACAGGCCAAATAGATTACCTGGCCATATGTTTGTGAAAGTAACCATGTGTACAAGATGTGTATATAATGTAGATAAAAATGTCTGCACTCTTATACAGTGATTTCTTTTTTTCTACACTAGGTGATGAAAGCAGCAGTAGTACTGACAACAGGAGCAGCAGTGATGAAGACTCTGATGGATATCACAATGCTCTTCCTAGCACCAGTGTTCTAAAGGACAACTTCAGTATTTTTCAACCTGGGCCCTATTTCCCCATGTGTATGTGTGCATATGATTCATGGTTACAACTCGTTCTAAAATTGGTTCAGTATTGAGGGAGGCGGATGCAACCGGAGCCGCGAAACGAGCTAAAATGGTAACGGGGGCAAATACGTCCCGTATAAGTTTGCGCATTAAAAGTGCTTTTTTTTCGCCACTGACCGGTTCAGATCGCTAGAAATGGCGTTTTTAGGACGGTAGATTTATTTGCGGCTTGTAAAATAGGGTCGTAAAAAGATAGATCTACTGAATATATCTAACATCTAGTAAAGCCGAACTAGTAATGACACTGCACCTAGATGAACTATGTTAAGAAATAAAGCAAGGATGTTGGCTAATTTTAGATATTTTAGATAGTACTCTAAGAATGGTATTTTTGGGATGGTAGGTTTTTTGCGGCTTGTTGTAAAATAGAATCGTAAAAAGATACATCTACTGAATATATCAAATGTCTAGAAAAGACGATCTAGTAATGACACTGCACCTAGATGAAATATGTTAAGAAAAAGTAAGGATGATGGTTAATTTCAGATAATTTAGCTAGTACTGTAGAAACGGCATTTTAGGGACTGAATATTTGAATAGATCTATATAAAATATCTAGTACAGCCGAACTATCATGTTATTATTATTATTATTATAGGTGGGAAATTATAACAGAGGAATATATTTGCAAGAACACTATTGTGTTTTTGTGTGTATTCAGGACATTATTGAATCAGGGAATCCGACAATGGATCCTAAGTGACTTTACATTGGCATTGTTTCCGTGGTACCGGCACGTAATTTCAACCCAATTCGTGCTGCCACGACGGAATGCGGTGTTAAGAGGTCGTGGTCATTTCACCTATTTCTGTGAGATCAGGTTGTTTTTTGGCCCAGTGTATAAAATGATTTTTATTTGTTTCTTGGCTTGTTTTTTTTTCTTTTTTTACTGTAGATAGTTACTAATATGAGTCATCCTCAAACAATACAATACTACTCAAAAGTAAACCAATAATAACAACAATGAAATAAGCAAAAATAATATTAAAATTATATTGAAATTTTAAAATCTATTTACATAGTGGAATGGTAGCCTAATAGATAACTTAGATACAATTTATTATTGTTTAGACACTTAATTATTGCTTAGATACTATTTAGCCTATTATTGTAGTTACTTTTAGCATGTTCTACTTTTATCTACTGTGGGCTATATGTTTTAATTTATTTAATCATGAAAGTATTTTATGTTAGGCCTACATCTTAATATTTTATGCCATTTATCATAGTTTAGTTCTTAACTCCAGTGTTTCCTCAGTGGGAGTGTGTGCATAGAATAGATATACATTTAGGTATGATACAAATTAGCAACAACAGGAATAAATGGAAAAAAATGGTACAAAAAAAAAATAAAAAAATATTAAAACACATTTTCCCGTCTCAGGTATGTAGATTTTATTGATGCCACACAATTATTTTCAATGTCCTGACTATAACACCAACTATTATAATCCAATGTGAAACAGAGCTCAAGCTTTTCACTTTGAACACTGGTGCTAGGAAGAGCATCGTGATTTCCATCAGAGTCTTCATCACTGCTGCTCCTGTTGTCAGTACTACTGCTGCTTTCATCACCTGGTGTAGAAAAAAGAAATCACTTTTTAAGAGTGCAGACATTTTTATCTATATTATATACACATCTTGTACACATGGTTACATTCACTAACATATGGCCATGTGTAAACCGCAAAAAGCTGAAACTCTACACGAAATTATAGCATTGATCCGCATGAACCCGACCCGTTATCCGTTTTTTCCATTTTCCATTTAAACAGAAAATCGGAAATCGGAAAAGGAGTCGTTATCCGTTTTTTCATTTTGGTTCTGGAGACAAATATTGAAAAACAAGTCATTTTGTTTTTCATATTTGGTTTTATTTTGAAAAACGAATGATAAACAGATTTTGGAGGACAGGAGTGATGTGCTGGATGGATGGTGTTCTGGTGATGATCCGGGCAGCAGCATTTTGGACCAGTTGAAGTTTATGGATGGATTTGAGGGGGAGACCAGTCAGAAGAGTGTTGCAGTGATCCAAACGATAGGTGACGAGGGAATGGACCAGTACGGCGGTGCTGCTGGGTGTGAGAGAGGGACGAAGTCGATTGATATTGTGAAGATGGAAACATGCAGTCCAGGTGATGTTATTAATTTGTGTTTGGAATGATAGCGTACTGTCGAGGATGACACCCAGACTCTTAACCTGAGAGGAGGGGGAAACAGTGGAGTTGTCTATGGAGATGGAGAAACTGCTAGCTTTTGTGAGGGTGGACTTAGAACCAATGAGGAGAACCTCTGTTTTATCATTGTTCAGTTTGAGGAAGTTGATGGAGAACCAGGATTTGATGTCCTGTAAACAGACACAGAGGGAGGTGGGCAGGAGGTTGGAGGTGGGTTTGGTGGAGAGATAGAGCTGGGTGTCATCCGCATAGCAATCAAACTGTATACTGTGTTTTCGAAAAATATGGCCAAGGGGGAGGAGATAGATAATGAAGAGGAGGGGACCGAGAACAGAGCCCTGGGGAACACCGCCGGAGGAGAGGGGAGATGGCTGGGATTTCATTTTAACTGAATGAACTGAGTGCGGCCAGTGAGATATGATTTAAACCAGTCGAGGGGTGTGCTGGATATTCCAATGGATGCTAGTCTGTTGAGGAGGATGGAGTGGGAGATGGTGTCGAAGGCTGCACTCACGTCTAGGAGGATGAGGATGGATAAAAGTCCGGAGTCAGCTGCAATCAGGAGGTCATTGGTGATTTTAATAAGTGCTGTTTCTGTGCTGTGGTGGTAAATAAGCTACAGTTAAATTAAAACCCATTTTAGGAGATAGATAATGAAGAGGAGGGGACCGAGGACAGAGCCCTGGGGAACACCGGAGGAGAGGGGAGATGGCTGGGACGTGAAGGATTTTAATTGAATGAACTGAGTGCGGCCAGTGAGATATGATTTAAACCAGTCGAGGGGTGTGCTGGATATTCCAATGGATGCCAGTCTGTTGAGGAGGATGGAGTGGGAGATGGTGTCGAAGACTGCACTCAAGTCTAGGAGGATGAGGATGGATAAAAGTCCGGAGTCAGCTGCAATCAGGAGGTCATTGGTGATTTTGATAAGTGCTGTTTCTGTGCTGTGGTGGTAAATAAGCTACAGTTAAATTAAAACCCATTTTATGGTATTCAGCTCCAATTCATCAAGACTGTGAAGATGTGGTTTGATCAGATTTAATTGACAGAGAACAAACACACCATCAGTTTTTCATTCAAATATTGCTAAACCTGATTGGTGCCCAGGTGTACACACCAGAATTTTCAGACTGAGACATGCCCACTTTAAACCAGAAATTAAAGAATACAGAGATCTCTCAAATGAAACAAACCAACAAAAAATAACTTTTCTAACTTTGTTAAGACATAATATGTTTATGTCGGACCCGATCCCTCACAGTGAGCTGATTGCAAAGGTACATTTTCAGGGCCTGATTTGACCAATTCATTCAGAGAATAGCAATATAAGACCTTCATGTTGATTGCATTTTTTTAACTGTGTTCAAAGAAGGTATGCCACTATCAGCAAAGTACATATGTTGATGTAGCTTCAGCCCACCCCCACACTTCTTGACTGTCAGTGTCTGCACTGCAGTGCTGGCCTACCTCATAGTGTGAATGCACTCCGGCTCCTTAGTGAAGGCATAAGCATAACCGCTGGATGTGGTGCCAAAATCAATGGCTACTACCACCACATAGGACGGCCCCGACGGTACCTGGTCTGTGTCGCTTTGCTGTACAAAGAGAATGTACAGTTCGACAGGGTTAGGACATGTACACACACAAGCACTTCAGGCTATAACATTTGCATTTACATTCCAACAGCGATCAACAGCAACATTCACTGAAAAGAGCAAATCATCATCACAGCCTAACACAGATGTGAACACACACACAGCAGCACCAAAACGTGTACAGCTTATTCCCGCATGCCTTGATAGAGAGCTGCATGGGGGCGGAGGAGTCACTGGTTCATAAAATATGTTCACCCAGTCTTTGGTGGCCTGTGTCCTAACACTGAGTACGTTTCTGCCTTTATTTCAACTTAAGACAATATTACCACTGAGCTGTTTACGTGGCTACTGAAAAAGAATATTCCACTAACATTCCTGTTGGCATGCAGTCATGCATACTCTGATTGACGTGCTCTAACAGGCTGTTTATCACGTCAGCTGTGTGAACACAGCCTCCCTCTTTCATTCCTTCAACCAGCCTCTTGAAAAGGTCAGTGTTGCGATATTTGTGCATATCCAACTAGAATTACTGCCCCACAGCTATTCATGCACCAGTCAAGTTTAAAGTTTACATCCATGTCTGTGATTACATGAATGCTTCACACACATCTTCCCCCAACAACACAGAGGATTTACACAATCAGCATAATTTTGAGATGAATGTCACCAATTAAGTATCTGACCAAATGTCTCCCCTTCTGTTCCTGAGATATGATATTGAGTAATGGCAAGAGGACTTGAGATATCTTGTTCATGAGAATGAGACAGATGCAAGGTCACAGCGACCTCGACCACTGAAATCCAATCATTTCATTGTTGAGTCCAAGTAAAAATTTGTGCCAAATTTGAAGAAATTCCCACCAGGTGTTCTTGAAATATCAAATTCACAAGAACTAGACAGACAAGATAAAAGTGACCTTGACCTTTGACCACCAAAATCTAATCAGTTAATCATTGAGTCCAAGTGAACGTTTGTGCCAAATTTGAAGAAATTCCCTCAAGCTGTTGTTGCGATATTGGGTTCACGAGAATGACATGGATACAAGGTAGGGCTGGGCGGTATGGCCTAAAATCAATATCACAGTATTATTTTGGGGGGATGCGGTGACGGTATGATATCGCGGTATCGTCTTCTCTCTTTTTTTTTTTACACCTTAAATAAAACAATTTAAAAAGCCATACAAGTCTAGGATCGAAACTATTTATCTTCAGAAGTAAAATGGTTGCTAATCCATCTATAATTGTGTATAAAACGTTATATATTATGTATAAATGTTAGAGGGAAAAGGGAGGGCCGGTGGCTCCCGGGCCCCCTTCTCCTGCGGGCCTGGGTTTGGTGCGGTTGGCCAGGCCACCTCCATCACGTAGCGAGGGAGGTGCGTGAGGCAGGCAGGCTGGGCCCCGTTCTGCTGCCGTAGCCAGAGTACTGTGGTATGATGGTAACCACAAAAGCAGTACCGCGGCTCATGTTTACTGCGGTATGTTACCGTCACCGCGAATACTGCCCAGCCCTAATACAAGGTCACAGCAACCTTGACTTTTGATCAATGGCCACAAAAATCTAATCAGTTCATCCTCAAGTCCAAGTCAACCTTGGTGCCAAATTTGAAGAGATTGCCTCAAAGTGTTCTTGAGATATCACGTTCACAAGGATGGGACAGACAGATGGACGGATGGACCAGTTTGTGTACAGTGTATCCATGACAACACATAGAGCCGACTGTAAATGGACAAGAGACAGTGTGTCACAAACTGCAGTAAAATCTGGGGGTGGGGGGAGAAATCGATACAGCACAGTATAGTGATATTTTGCCTGGCAATATCATATCAATACACCAACGCCAAGTATCATTTCTTATTTTATTAGTTATTAAAATTACAAATACAAATTCAACTTTTGGTAGCCTACTAGAATAATAAAATAAATTTCTTTTTCAGTCCACTAGATACACGTTGCTGCAATAAAAATGATTGGAGTGAGATAAACACACTGAAAACTTTATCTCATTAGACGATGGCAAAGTTTTTAATTGAGGACGTAATTTGCATTTGAAAAAAGGTAGTAAATCGCAATATATTGCAATAAATGCTACTGCAATACTCATCACAATGCAACATGTCATAATAATATTGAACCAAACCTGAACTGTGACTCCTAAACAGGACTATGAACCGGACAGTGACATCTGTGTACCTTTACATCCCTTATACACACATAGAAAGCATAACATGCACAGAGTAACAATAGTTACAGTAATGAGAAAACATGCATAAGAGAACTTAGTCACCTGAGTATGTGAAGGAGACAGTGGGGTAATTCCAGGGTCACCCATACTCTTTGCAGGAGAAGGATTAGCCATTGCATCTGTAGAGGACACAAAGATGTTCATGTCAGACACTTAACCTTTACTTTTATACATTCTATCGTTCAGTCACTTATGTACATGCTTACTTTGTACTATGCTACGTACTGGCCCAAATGTACGACAGTATTTTTGAACTATATTTCAAATATGTTTGAAAAGGGCAAGCTGTATTATATTGATTATGTGTTCACAAAATCAGATCAAGTGAAATTAACAGTTTGAATTGGGGTGATGTACTATCCTCTGAAGATCTGGACTATGAGTGTGACACTTTCACTAACAAAATTAATTCTGTGAGGGATAGATTCAATGTGAGTATTCAGATAAAACCTAAAAACAAAAACAACTTGGTTTAATGTAAATTTGTGGAAGCTGATGAAAACTACATGAGATGCTGCATTAAGGAAGGCAATTAACTAGAAGAGACACTGACATGCTGCTCTATAAAGGCCTAAGGAACAAAGTTATCCAAGAGCTAAGGTTAGC